AACGGCGAAAATCTTGTGCAAATTAGCCTCGATTTTGTTCAAAGCTTCGTAAAAGAGTCTTTCAATATTTTGACATACTCTTTCGTGTTCTTCACCATTTGTACCGCTGAATTTGGGGCTTAAAATCTGAGCAGTCTCGTCCGACCTATCGTTGAAAAATCGCATAGTTTTTACTCACAAATATCATTGCGCCAATTACTATCTCGCATTTATTATAAAAACAATAAAAATAAAATTTGTATTATTTTGAATGCATATGACAACTACAATTTTTGAAAGAAAATATTGTTTTTAAATGAGAAACAAAAGTAAAAAAAAAAAAAATAAATAGATATAGTATGTAATATATTATTTTGCTTATTGTTTCTACGCAATATATTATTTGAACCTTGCAAAATCAATCATCGCTTGACAAATCTCGATCATATCCTGACACCTGCCGATGAAAACGTCGATGTAACGGAATATATTCTTCGTGTCTAAGTCCCAAGGGTGGTGTGTGAGATTGATGTGAGCGCTCGCAAACTGAAGATTATAGAACGAAATGTTTAAAAAAAAAAAATATTTTATTGAGAGAGAGAAAGATTATATGAGTTCTTTTTATTTGAAGAAAAATGCAAATTAAAATCTCTATATTGTAACTGAAGCGGTGATCTTCCTAATTTCTGTTCTAAGAAAAATGTAAATGGAACAGAAAAGAGGATTCTCTGTATTATAATTTTACAAAAATATTTCTCCTAAAAATACACTTGGAAAATATTGTACTAATACTTATTTATATACGGGATATATGTATATGTATCTGGGAAGAGAGAAACTGCTCGAGTAACGTAAGAATGCGAAGGACTGTGGACACGCGCGTTAGCGACCTGTAAAACGATACGTAATGCGATTGCACGGATTTCTGCACAAAAGTTTAAGGAGTCGTGTCACCTATCCCTTCGGGCACACATGGCGTGCTAACCGTGGCGCAACTCGAGAACAAGTAGTCAGGAGAGCCGGCGCATCGTCATACCGTTTCTACCAATTCCCACCTCTATTCTGGCTTATCTGCCCACGGGAGGAACGTAAATCGATATTATATTGCGATCTCCATTTAAAGAGAAAGCTTTTTCTCATCTTGCTGTTTTGTACTTTTAAGGGGAGCACGCTTCTCTAAGACAGCGCGTTAATCAGTTTTTAAATTTTAATTTCGTTGAACACTGTTACCGAAAGCAATCTTTTATTTGTGATTCTAAATTCGGAAACTAAGAAACTATTTTGCGGAGATAATTCTCGTCGGTTGTGCCTCGTTATATTTGAAATTGTATTATTTCCAATCATAATTATTACTGAAAACCGAAATCACTTTGTAACTCCTCCGCATTAACGCGAGCTTGCTTCATCTCCTCGCGTTGTCCAACGAGGGATCTAAGTAGCTAAAGTAACTGTGCACACATAATTTAATGGGAGTTTAACTCACCGCTTGTGGAAGGTGAATTTGCAGATAGCACATAAAGTACTACGTTTTATACGCTTTTCGTGTATACGCTCACAAGCCGGCTTTTAAACTCACATGTACTTTAGAGAGAAATGTACTTATACTTATTAACTATTAAAATAAATATGCGCAAAGTCTAAAAGTTATATATAAATATATAACATTATCATAATTATTACATATTACATAATATTAACTCGTGTAATTAATAAAAGTTAAACTAACTAAATTTTTTGTTAAATGACAAATATTTTCTTTCTCTATAAGCAAAAATTTGAGAAAAAGCTTTAATTAAACTGTCGCTGAAATATGTAATAATTATAAATATTTTAACATAAAATATTTAGATATGCTATACACAAATAATTAAAAAATTTCGTGCATAAAATTAGAAGAACCTCTAGTAGAAGCCAGTAAGTCAATCATGATGCTAACATACAAAAATGTTTATATCTCAGAAACGGTTGAGCTTTCGATCTATGATTACTAAGGTTTTTTTTACTCAGTATGGTGTGTCCTATCTATCATATAAATATTGAATGGTATTTTTTTTAACACCCTGTATATTAACATAAAAAAATATTTAAGTTTACATAATTTACCTGATGATAAAGAGTTTTATAATCGTTGCATAATTTGATGCATTCGTCCAACAATTTCATACTCTTTCTAGTTCGCCCCATAAATACGTCTGCTAGATCGATGAAATCTTTGCACATGATGACGATCTGATTGCTAAGCGCGCTGAAGAGATTGCTTATCCTCTCGCGGGTATTGTAGTACGGGGAATTCAGCCAAATCGTTCTGAAGAGATGCATCATTTTTGGCAGATATTGAGCCACGCTCGCGGGAGCCGTGCAAGTCTTCAACTCGGCAGAAGTGTCCTTCAGGATGCTCAAGAACTCGATGTTCGATTTTGCCTCGACGGTACCGTGCTCGATTTCGTCCTTCAACATCAGGAACTGCCGTACATAAGTGGATTGTGCAGCCAATAATATGTCGATAATGAGCTCTACCGTATTCTTACGCAACTGGTGATTCAAGCCGCACAGGTTGTCGTCTGACAAAAAAAAAATATCGCACATTGAAATAAGTCAACGTTATGGCATAATCGGATATAATCTTCTCAAAAGTTTGAGATAAATTTTTTCGCTTATTTATGAATATCTACAAAATAGATAAAACGTAAATGCACAAAAAATTCTACGTTTTACGCTCGTTTTGCTACGATTAAATGCTTCAAAATAATATAAGTTTCTTCGTAATTCTATAAAGTACACATGACAAAGGGATTCCATGCTGAAACCTTCCGCATTAAAGGAAACTTTTGTCCCTCCTAGGAAATCTCGCAGATATATATTATCGGGAAACGTGATTCTATCCTCGTACTACGTCTTTCCTTAGGAGTGAGCACTTACATCGATAAGCCCAGAAGTCATATTCGTCGTCGAGGCATAGTAACTCATGCGGAGCTGCCTGTACCTGGTCAGAGAAGGCTATTTTGATTTGGGTGTTCCAGTGGGCCACCACACCCTCCAGCCTCTTCACCAACTCCTTATCGGCGCTACCTTCTTCCGCGGTGAACTCCCTACTCTCCAGAGGTACATATATCACGGTTAAGCCCAGCATTTTGTACGTGAGGTCCGTTAAATTGCACAGAAAGGTGTCCAGTTTGGTGCAGAAGTCCGCTTTCACACATGTGTTTCGGTGCGATTAAGGAAGAGAAAATCCAAGAACGTGATACGACACCGAGAAAGCTAGTTATCGCTGTTCCCGATACGACCATTTTTTATACCGCCATCCCGACGTCTATCACATGGAATTGCAGCGTGTACACGACCGCTACATACCCGCTGATGGAGATTTATTGAACCGAATTGCCCGCTGTATATCGAAATGATCGACCAGCTTGTCATTGTCATATCAATTTATAATCGGAGCGCGTGCAATTGTGTAGATTTTATCAAAAATACAAACATTGGAAAATTTGAAAAAAAGATCGCAACGGTTTTGCATTTAAATTGAAATAATTTATTCAAATCTTAACGATATTGAGAGAATAAATATTATATATTTCTTATTATTTCTTATTAAAATTTGTATGTTTCATAAATGTTTTCTGTGGAAAATATTAATCACACGTTTATATAGAATGTGAAATTTAAATTATTGATCATAAGATAATTTAATAATCACTGAAATATCTTGCGGAGATAAAAAACGTGGAAACGAGGTTGCTGAATGTCCTGATGCACAATTAGCAAAGCGATGCTTCGATCAGGTTAAAATCCGCTCAGCATCCATTAGAAATAATGAAGTGGCTCTCGTCCGCGAATGCAATGCAATCGTTTCTAACTCGACAGCGGAGTAATCCCGTTCGCGTACGTAGGCAAACATCGACGCTGGATTTACCAGCGACGGTGAGTTGTGCAGTGCATTTAGCCGAAAATTATGGTAATAATAACTTCATGCAATTCCCTGGTGTCCCCGCTTTTCCGCAACCCCATCCCCCGCGGACAGTGTCCGGAACTTTGCGTCGTGCGTTGCGGTAACGGGATTGCAGTGCTAAAGTTGGAAATTCAGTTGCTAATGTCATCACGTTAGATTGTTATGACCTTAAGCCAGAGCGACTATGGACGATCGCGATGATCGCCCTTGGCATTGCGAGACCGGTTCCGCCATAGTTCCTTTATCACGAATTGACACTACAGGCACTTATCGATCATTCTGTATGCATACAGGATTATCGTGGCCATCGTAACATGACATTTAAATTACGAATAGACAGTAACATTTTCAGAGTTTACACCGATTTATAGAAAAATGCCTGTTATAATTATTGATATTATGATAAATTGTAAATATTAAAATGTAAGAAACGTTATAATAATTAAAGGGGCATTAAAAATAATATGAATATAATATATACTTGAAGAAAGAAAGCATATTAATTATTCGTGTTATCTAACGAAAAACAAAAAGACTAGACTTCATGTGAGGTAAAGTTGACTATGGTAAAATATCCGAAAATCCAATTGCCTCGATTGGATTGAAATTGCTTCGAAAAAATCGATCATATATCAGTATATATCACGGATTGAATCAACGGATTCGAGCTACGGGAGATAAAACGCACGATGTCTCCCTTGGGCGTCCTATGGCAGTGAAGCTTTTTAAACGTACATTTAAATCCGCGAAAAACTTTAAATCACCGCCGACTGCAAAATCAACCGGTCGCAGAACGCGGGATTTGAAAGTTAAACAGAATTTACATCGCACGGCAATCGCGAAGCGCGGTCTCAAGTGGGTCACTCGAAAAGCCGCAAGAAGACGGGATATCGCGCCTGGACCCAATTAAAGTTCCGTAACTCGCGATCTGTACACGTACATTATTTGCCGAAACAAAACAAAAAGAAAAGAGAAGGAGAGAGAGAAAAAATGAGAAAACTTTGCAAGCCTTTCCCCTAGCCTATCGTTATACATCCCTTCTCGTTCTGCAAATTCGCGTCGCTCAGTCCCGTGCTACTGCCATGCGAAACTTTCCGCATTAGTTGCACGAATTAATTGGATAGTTTGACGGAAATGTAATAATAGATACGGAGAGATAGCACAGAGGAGGAGCGAAAGGATACTGTCCGGCCAAGTTTCGATTGTGAAGAAGATCGGCGCGAGCACGTTCTGGATGACGCCCAGTATATGGCTCTCCACCTTGTCGTTCAACGACCCGAAGAGAATGCGCTCGCGAAAGTTCTCCGGATAGAGAATCTCGTTGGGCTCTCTCACGAAGTAGGTTAGCTCGTGCACGGGTACCGTAGGAAATGAAAATTCTGTGGTCAGGTCACCCTCCACGTGATAGACGCAGAGGACCGGAATGCTCGGGTCGTGGAAGAACTCGCGGATGTCCATATCGCATTTCCACGTCCAATCGCTGTCCTTCAGACCGCTCAGCGTTGTCATATCCTTAACACACTGAATCTGAAAAAAGGTACCGAATTTTTCCGAGTCTCTGCTTTCGACACAAATGCGCGAATAAATGTTTTTCTTTGTTTTTCAACGTTACCGTATTTTATTTCTGGAAATACGCGGCTATTCCAATATTAAAGATTAATCCAAATTGTTTAAGTATAATTTCTTGAATATAATATTACAGTTAGAGAGATCTTATAATTATGTATATTTTTTCGCGGAATAAATATTGCAACAAGTGTTACTGTAAAAAAAAAAAATTAATTAAAATAAAAAAGTGTTGTTTAATCTTGAAATTATAGGATCAATTTAAAATATAAATAAAAAACTATATTATACGTATAAATTCAAAAGAAAGACGTATTAATTTGCCTTGTGCGCTCACCAATTCGTTTAATTCGTCCGCCCCGTACATCGGACGCAGCTCATCTTCCATATCCTCCTCTTCTTCACCTGCAACAATATTCGTTTGACAATCTCCGCCGTAGAGTGCGGATTCTGAAAACAAAATTCGATCTCCCCGCGTGATGCGTATATACGTCCATCTTCGCTGAAAAGGCTTTCTCTCGTAACTAATAAGGGTCATTGCAAAGAGGAAACAAATTCGAGAGGACGCGCCGGCCGTTCGTTAGTCGTCAATTGGAGCAGCGGCGCGCGATGGGTCCTCCTAAATCCGCCAGCCAGATTAAATAGAAGACATTCGTTTTAAGGGTCTCTCGCGCGTTCGTCCCGATATCATTCCTCAGGCCTTCTCCGCCGTTTCGATCCCATCCCGGGATCCATCGCCGCCGTCCCGTTCGCCATCCGTGCCTTTGCTCTTGGCAATCTAATAGGAACTATAAATCGCAAGTGGAGCTAGTAAATCGACGGAAGAGGAAACACGTCGCGTCGCGATCGAGAGACGCTACCGTAGACCACGTTAGAGCGATTTATCCTTCCGCTATGATAGCGGACATTATGCAGATACGACGACGTCTTCTTTCGCGACATGCAGCGACTTATCAGTCTCACGTGTATACTTCCTCGCAGATATTGTCGCGAAATATTTATAAAATTATTGAACCTTATCGTGCTTAGCACGAAAGAGAAATCATGAATAGAATCAAATAATTTTAACGATAAATTATTGCAAGATGATAAATTAGTATTAATCTATTATTTTCTCCATATTGTCTTTGTTGTTTTAATAATAAAGAAGTTTTTATATACAAAAGATATCATGTATAGCAGACAGTAATTCTAAAAAATATCCTCAAGATAGATTTAGAGATTAAAATGTCATTTGATTTCTTTTCTTTTTTAATACACGGTCAAAGAACACGGTCACTCTGTCGTACAGATAATTTAATTTACGTGGTCTCTATAGATTAATGTGAGATCAGATAGAGGATTTTACTGCAGTCGACCAAGGGACAAAATCGCTGTCCTCCATCATCCGTAACGTAACGTGACGTTAATTGTTTGCGGATCACGGATTTGTAGATCCTACCGTTTCTTCTCGCCCTCGTGTTCACGAGGAAGAATAGATTCTCCGGATAATAACGTTAGTTCGTGGTGGATAGAGACGCGCACATAGGTAGCTTGCATATAGATTATCGGTTTACCAAGTTTACCTACTTTCGTGGATCGTGCAAGTACCACGGGAACTCGCGGGAGAACGAATTAGCTTCATTTTCGCCAGCGAGCGACGGATGTGATCGCGGAGAGTCGAAGGGGAGGTAAATTGCCATAATTCCGGGGACAAATTAGGAATGGGGCAATCTGCGCGGAATCTGGGAATGACCGATTAATCGCCACAAGTGACCGCGGCTTACGTGCGATATATTATAATTTGTGAAATAGAGATTCGGGATTTATTAATATATCGACTCTCGATGTGCTCTCAATCGTAATCCATCTCTCTCACACATTTACCTCTCCCTTAAAATTATCGCGGAATTTATGATTATCGAATGCACTCGCGGCATTCAGCGTACAAAGCAGCCATTGTAATTGCAAATTGGATGCGGCCATCGTCGAATCCGTGTTCAAATTCGAGCGCGTCGCTGTCGAGAGAACTTGCTTCAAATTAGCCGCATTATGGTTAACGTGGCCGTTATTATTGCTGCCTTGTTAATATTTGCACAAGTATCGAGGAAATTATACGGCTGTTATATCGCGCACGACTCGCGCGAACTGACAAATGAATTAAATAAATCCGTCCTGCTTTAATTAATCAATGCCATGCTGTAATGAAGTATTCAAAAATTTATCAGTAGTACGTATCAATCATGGCGCGCCTAGTGATAGTGAAATTATACACATCGTGATTTAGGATATTATATTTGGAAAAAATGATATATATAGCCGTGTTAAATCGTGTCGAAAAACAAAAGTATATTTTAATATTCCCCTCACAAATGTTGCTCGTGTCATCATTACCGATGCCACGGATATCTTTGAAAATTTAATAGGGGAATTAGAGAGATCTGCGCGGCGAGATTGTACAAAACAGAGGTTGAAAAACGATGGTTCGAAGATATCGAAAATAGAACAGGCGGAGTGAAAGAAAACAGCAGTGAGAAAGGAGCGGAAAATCGCGAGAGTAAAGAAACTGGAAAGAGAGAGAGAGAGAGAGAGAGAGAGGGTGTGGATGCGTTTAATATTTTTCTCGTAAATCTTACTGCGCCTTTCCGCTTCATCGCTGGACTCGGCGTCCAAGTACTCTCGGCGTGGGTCCGGGGGCGGCTTATCTTTAACTTTATTTCTTCGTCTTTGCATTTTATTGACGGGGTGGCCTGCCGGCGTCGTCACCTCCCTCACGCGAGCCTGTGCAGCTGATTTATGCGCCCGGTCCGACTGTTACGGTACCGAATCTTTCAGCGTTCTCGTCGTAGATATCTTCGAGCATCGTCGCGAAGTTGCTCGAGAGCAAAAGAAATGGTCTTGGCGGTAGATCGGCTTTTGGACTCCGATCGTACGTTGTCGAAGAGGTTCTCAATATCTCAGAAATATTATCGTCGGTGGTTGTTTATATAAGATTGTGATTACGCGAAAAGAAAAGTCGTAAAATCGTAAACCATTTTGCATCTATTGTATTTGGTGATGTATGTGTGATGGTTATATATAATAATATTTTTATTATATTTACTAATCTGGAAGATTTATTAAAAACCAAGCAACCGTTTTATTGATAATAATGTTAAATAGAGAGAAAAAAGATCATGTCGTTATTAATTTTTTACTTTGAGTGTATAATACGCTTTTGATATTAAATGCATACTTATTTATTTATTATTATTAAGTTATTTATCTTTTCTTATAAATTGAAGCTTCAGAAAGCTGGGGGGGATGAAAACTTTCCACTTCGTTACATGCATTACACGTCCCGGTGAGCAAATCGCGGAACTTCAGTTTATTAGGTTCATTGTGGCCGCTTATTCGTTAAAATTACGTGCATTACCTCATTTCAAAGCTACTACCTCGTTTGCGTTAGAGAATAATCACGTGCATTTTATGCATGAATAATTGCTGCACCTTTTATATAAGAACGAATAGTATTAACTGCGTACGGAGCAATCTTAATAACATACAAACAATTTCTTTCATTTCCTCGATTTTGTATAACGTTTTTAAAAGTATTAAATAATAGAAAAAAAATACTAAACGCTTTAGAAATGCTCGGATGAAAGAGCGCATTTAATAATAATAAGCTACGTTATAGAGCTTAGTTTGAGCACTTGGATAGAAAAAAATTTAAATGCATTTCCGTAAATATCTAAATTTTAGATATATTATTGCTGACAAAGAGAGAGTCACCTGCATAAATTCATGAGATACAATTTGCTAGAATGAAGCTAGTAAGAATAGAAACTTATAAATCTCTCTAATTATTAATGTGACTAATTTAATATTAATGAAATTTGCTGGCTTTTGAATAAATTCATTTTTATCGCTCGACGATATTATATATCCTTATAAATTCTTCTTGGATAATATCAAAATGTTTGTGGATAATAAATACAAAAAAAAAAAAAAAAAAAAATTGAAGTTTAGTTTTTCAATTTTCACGCATGTTTTAATAAAAAGTATTTCAATAAATACACACAAACAATTTGAAAGATAATAAAAAAGATTTATACATATTTAAAAAATATTTAAGAACGATTAGACCAGAAAGAATTTTTTTCATATACTTGTCATCGCGACGCTATCGCGTCGCTTGATTTTAAATGCTTCTATAAAAAGTATAAACAATGATATAGAGAATAGTCGAATTATATTATATATGTTCAATAAAAGCTTAAAGAAATTTTAATTTAGTTTTATGAAATAATATTAGATTTGAATGACACAAAATTGTTTTTTTTTTTTTTTTTGTAATAAAAGAGATATGCATGTCTTTGAGTTGATATATTTGATTGTTGCAATTCATGTTTCTCGTTTGTAAAAGATAAATAGAAACGTTTAATTATTTTAAAATGTAAGATGTAATCTCTTTCACTCTAATGCATTTTGCATGCAATCTCTCTTTTATTCTGCAGATAAACCGTAAATCCGACCATTTTTTATTACAGCCTTTTGATGCAGTAAAGATGGGTTACTGTGCATATAAAAATATCGTAAAGCAATGGCTATTCGAATGTGTATCGACGAAATATCTTGATTTAGCTGTATGAGTCATGCTCACTGGTACGTGATCCTGCGTAACGCACAGAAGGTCCATCCGCGGACATGATGCACACATCCGGTTAGATCGACAGACGAGCGAAAGGAGAAATTGCACCGCTCAGTTATGGAGGGGGAAGGTTGATGGAACGAGATTAAAAGAGGCGAAGCTACAAGATTAAAAGGCAAAGCGGTACCTACTCTGAACTGAATGGCGTCGGTTGGCTGCTCGCGGAGACATTTATATTCCTGGGGAAATCGTTATTGACCGATCAGAGAATCCGAATAGCTTTGTCGCGTTCTCCCCTTTCTTTATTTTGCGCGCTCTTCCACTGGAAAAAAAAACCGAGACAGCGCGTGAACATCGACATCTGTCTCGCCAAGGGCTTCGTCACAATATTCTCGCATCGCTCGCTATGAATCGCAATCAGAAAGTAATCGTCACATTTCATGCAGATATAATTTTTTTCTGTGTGGGATAAATCAGTAATATCTGATGTACTTTTTCGCAGTATACAGCAATTGCAATAGTAAAAACAAATATGATTAATTATATAAATAATCAAAAGTATAAAAATTCTTTATATTGGGTAGATAAGATAATCAGGAATTTAACGCTAGACATAGTTCTAAACAAAAAATATGGTCCTATGTTTTTGAAATTAGGCGAAGAATTTACAATAGAAAGCTCCAGCTTTAGCGTCACAATTTTCTTCACCGATAGCTCAGCGACCGTAATAGCTGTCTAAAGTTTCCTCAGAAATATGGGCCAAAACGCCAAAATATACCTATAGACTATACAGACCGGAAAGCGGAAATTGAGCTAGAACACGAGACGAGTTTTGCCAGGAAGAAGTAGTTACGAAACACGGTGCATCTCTCTCCCCCTCTTACGCTCGGATAGCGAAAATGGAGAGTTTACATGAAACTTAATCGAGTAAAACAGATATACATATATTTAAGCATGTCCACAGTAACTGCTAGAAATATGTTTTCGACAAAGTATATGTGCTTTATCATTTTGGTTTCTATATTTAAAATACAGTATATAAATATTATATAGAACATAGAAGCTCTATATATAAAATATAATTTTATACAAAATCTTTGTCTATTATAATATTTTTGTACTTTGAAATAGAGAATTTGATAATTTGATATTTATGATAATTAATAACTATAATTTTGCTAGTTACTGTGCGACGCACGAAGACAATCATTGTATCTATAATTTGGCGACATAATTACAATAGTATAATTTTTCAATAAACAATTCTCGTTAATGTACCATTACATTCTTTCATTCCGTAATACTTTTATTTTCCTTTGTTGCATACAAAACTCATTTATATAATTATCTGCAATAAATTATTAATCTATACAAGCTTTCATGGATTTAATATATGTGTATGTGTGAATGTGTAAATTTGAAGCAAATAATGAAATAAAAAGATAATACAATTTATTATAATTACTTACAAGTTGTAATATCTGTCGATGTAATAATAAGAGAATATTAACTGTATTTCTGATAGTTACATAATGTAAAAATACGGTAAAATATATGCAATTAGGTCGGTGTAACAGTTTTATCAATTTAAATTATAAAATATGCCAGCGTAGATTTTAAGAGGCTACCTATATAGTACAGTCAGATAAACTGTTCTCTCCCTATTAATTCAATCTGCGTCGTACAAAAATAAAAAGTATGAAAAATAATCTTCCCTGTTATTACTCGCCAAATTAATTATTGTCTCAATATTTTTATTTTAAACAAAACTGAATCAATTGCTGAAGTAGAGGCAACGATTGTTATCGTGTGGGAGCGTCTCGTTTGCTTTTGCTCACGTTGCGATTATCCTTATTCACAGCGATCAGGGCTTAGAGGGTTTTTTTATTAGATTTACCAATCAGAGAGTTTCGTGGACAATTGGAACGTGGGCAATTGGGTGTCACGCTTATCCGTATATATGCTAATTAAAGGGACAATCTGAAGTAGAATCTGGCAAAGACTTCTAATTGATTGCCATCGCAAATACTTCTTAGCAGGTTCCATTGTAACTGATAATTATGAGAACAGCTTTAACATTTTTCCTTTTCATCGTCATGTATTTTTGATGAAAGAAATACTTTTATTTATTATGATACATAATAAAAAAAAAGTTTTGTTTAATTACGAGAAGATTATTTTCACGTAATATATATGAGAGAAAGAAAACCATTATTATATTATATAAAATAATAAGACCATCATTATATTATATAAAATAATAAAGGTATATTAAAACAGTATATATATTTTTCATGATGGAGATGCAAAATTTTTAATGAGTTTGTTCTTGCATAGCGATACGCACTCAATTAAAGTTTTGATATATTGCAACAGAGAATACATTACATGATTTTAACGTACAACTTTTAAACGGGAAAATATATTTTTTCAGAAAAAAATTGATCGGGGAAATTAGTCTCCGGGCTTTCTATCGAGTCAAGTACGAAATGCATCTACAACATCACAACATCGATAATGAGAAATTTATCGAGGTGTGAAAAAGCGCGGTCGCGTTTGTCGATACATTCGGTGTTATCGTGGCTTTATATCGCGTACATTCTCCGACAGCACTTATGGGGGGCGAGGGAGGAGAAGAGGCAATGTCTGCGTCCTCCCGATTCGAATTTCGATTTAGCGCGCTTCCGTGAAGGAGCGAGTGTAATAGATGTGTACTAGCCTATGTACTATGGCCGAACCACGCCGGTAGGTCCACGGTTGTTTGTCGACGAGAGGTCGGCGTACCCGCGAACGCTTTTCTTCGGCAATCGATTGCTCGCCGGACGAACGAGAGATTTTCTCGAGTGCTTTCTCGCTGTCTCGTGCACGTTGGGTTCCGGGGCGTCGATTCGATCAGAACACGAAAGGAAAACTAACTGCTTTTTCTCGCGCGCGCTCGCATTTGATGAAAAACCGTTTAATCGTTTGCTTCCTATCTCGCGACCCTGCTCTTCGGAAAAATTAGTACTCGGGCAACGTTTAAAAGATGAACGGAATCGTTTGTCTAATCTTTATATCAAGATCATCTATATTTTTCTACAATTAGTTATCGTATAACGATAGATAAACTAACGCGGAAAATGAGAAAGTATAAGCAGGGTTGCTTTCTCTGTCAGCAAACAAATTATGTTTTTAGTTAATAGACGTAAAACGCAAAATGCGTTCAATTGATAAGAATCATTATATTGGCATACATGTACATTATTACTACTTTTAGTGTACTATCTTGTTGAACGGCTTCATATTTCACGGTTGATGAAGACAGTTTTACACGATCAGAAAACTTCATACACTGTCAGACGATCTGTCACGCGCTCTATTTAATATTATAAGTTGAAATAAGATGAAATATATACCTTGTACAAAGCATCAGCGATCCATCATACAGAGGTT